GTCTAGAAGCTGTAAAGTATCTTTTTTCACTGGGGGGGGGGGCAGGGAGAAGTGTTACCCCCTTTCCTCCTAATGGACAGCCCCTCATAGATTCTGTTTTGGGACACAGGAGTCATTTTTCAGGAATTGAGTCTAACAGTGCTGGTGTGGGTACTCAAATGCTTCATCCAGGACAAGCCACCCAGATGCAAATATAGCAAAGAACAGAACCAGAATGTCTGACAGCCAGATCAGTGGAACCTGCAGCTGACCAGGACTGGGGAGCCAGATAGCCAGATGCTGAGCACGACTAATCCAGCTGCTCATGACAAAGGCACTAAAATGTCTTGCAGCCAGTTCTTCTGCACTGTATGTACCTCTATATTCCCCTCCATCCCAATTTCCATCAGCCACAAATACTGCTGACTACTACTTCTCCCCCAGCCCCGACAGTAGAGATTAGAAGGCAGGTTCTAGGAGAGACATTAACCTACTTCCCTGTTCTACAACCTATGATCCTTACAAGGCCTGGATCCCTTTCCTTTCGAGGAAATGGATGCAGAATTCTTGTCAGAGTTGCTGCATAGGTAAGCCAGCACACGCAGCTGGAAACTTCAACCAGATAATAAGGAAAAGGAGTAGAAACTATGTAACACCTTATCCCAGAAGCATGACTACTGCTTGGAAACCTTCATCGTTCAGCTGCGCTTGGGGAAAAAATAGAACACCATAAAAAAGTTTAACATTGCAAATATTTCAAACCCACTTCACTATTAGAGCATTGCAAAAGAGATTTAAATAAGAAAAGCTACTGAATATTGTTCTTTGATTAAATGTGTATAAACTATTTTGCTGTTTGAGTCACACTACAGACTTCTTGGGCAGCATTGTCAAAATTGAGTTACAAATCCAGCCCTGCAGTCTTAAGCAACCTGTCAGCTTCCAGAACACTATAAATACTTGTTCCACAGAACTCAGCTAGTTTTATACATTGTACTAAATCCCTGTAGAATAAATACTATAAAGCCAATGTGAACAAGCATCTTTTTAGAACTACACAGTCAGTTTTTATTCATTCACCTTTCTAAAATAAGTGTGTACCTACCTCAAAGCAGGACAGTTGTTGGCGAGGATAACCAACTTGGCTTTGCCTTGCCGAATCATTTTCAGAGTCTGTTTGTACCCCAGAACATATTTACCACTTTTCATAACCAGTTGAAGCCTTGAGTTTATAGACTCTAGAGACTTTTTCTGCAAGAGTTCACAAATGGAAGATATGAAGCAATACAGATTTTGCTCCTCCCAAAACTGGAAAATGCAAACTTTAATCTTAAAAACAAAAACACTTGCTTACATAAAGTTTATAATTACATTTAAGTAACCCCAAGAAATTTAGAGGGAACCTCTTGTTTAAGGTTCGAGCTATAAGAAAATAGTCTGCAGACTTTAAAAATCTCCTTTTCACTAACACCCTGCACTTTTTAAGCAGCTTATTGCATTCAACAAGCACTTTAATAAATTACAGCTGCTGGATCCTTTAAGTGTCTGGTTGGCATTAGAGAGATCTCACAGCCGGGATGGTCCAGGAATGATGTGAGGCAAGGACTTCCTCAAGGCAATACCTGGCCAAGCGCATACGATACCACTCTTCAGGCCTCTGCTACACCTTACATGTGTCACGCAGCTGACTGGCGAATGAGTTCAGCCTGGCCACACGTGCACAGCAATTATCAGGCAATACAGATGTCCATCCAGCTACAGAAGAGCCAGCAGCCACAAAAGCAGTGCTCGGAAACATGCAACAACTCTGCAGCTGGTTTCTATGCAGCGTTAACCCGGAGGTGTAGCAGGGTTCGCCTGTGACAGCACCCGCGCAGCCCCAGCGCAGGAAGGGAGAGCAGGGTCAGCGCGACGCGGTTACTCTTGCCAACGCAGCGGGGCTGAAGCCACCCAGCCTCGAGCCCCGGCCCGGCCCGTGCATCGCCCAGAGGGCAGCGAGACCCCGCGCAGCCACTGCCTCGGGGCGGGAGCCGCATCCACGGCCAGCAGACCGACCCCCTGTCCCGCCCGCAACCTCTCGGCGGCCGCGACACCACGTGAGCTCCGGCTGGGCCGCTCCGCGCCACTCACCGTCTTTTTAGCAGCCACCATGTTGCCGCCTCGTGTCGGGTCCGGCGGGAGCTGAAACACAGGATGGGTTAGCGCCCGGGTCGCGGTCCCGCCGCCCGCTCCGCTCCGCTCCGCCCCGGCCCGGCTCAGCCAGCAGAGCCACTCACCGGGAGGCGCCTCCAAGATGGCCGGGCAGCAAGAAAGGAAGGAACTCCCGCAACGCCCGGCGGGTCCCCGCGCGGCCCCGGCTAACTCTCGCGAGAACGGCTCGCCCCGCCTCCCCCTTCCGGGAGGAAAGGCGCGTGCGCAGGGGCGGGGCCACGAGAGACAGAGGGCGGGGCCAGGAGACCGGAAGCGGCCCTCCGTCCCCGTGCGCAGCGATTGGGCCGTTAGCCCTAGGCGGCGGGGCCAGAGGCGGGCTGCAGCAGAGGGCGGGGGCGGGACCTTGGGGATTGATTGATTGGTTGATTCCCTTCCGTGGGTACGTCAGAGCCTCCGGGGGGGGGGGGGGGGGGGGGGGGGGGGGGG